AGTTAGGGTTAGAGTTAGGGTTAGAGTTAGGGTTAGGCTTATGGTTAGGGTTAGGGAGTAGGCGTAGGCGACTCCCTAGACTCGTTAGTGGAGTAGGCGAGGTACGGTCCGGCATATTAGATAGTAGTATTTAGTACCAGGGTACGTTCTGGTATACCGGACCGTACCCAGGGTACGTTCCGGCAGTACCCTGGGGGACATAGACCCTATCAGCCTAAGGCTGAGCCGGAATGCACAAGACATGAGGTACAACACACAAGCTCAATCCTACTATAAGACTTATGTACATTAATCACCACCACTCTAGCCCTAATATGCCATTAAAAACTTCTAACAATAAAACTGGAACCGAAAAACCTAACAAACGATCCTAACAGTAACATTGAAACATGACCTCATGCAGCCCTGACCTTATCTGAAGCCGATGATTAAAAACCAGGGTCCTCACGTAGGATTAGCATGTGGTGATACGGATAACTGAAGCAACTGCCACGTATATATCTTAGTTTTACACAATCATTGCAGTGACATGCACTGCAGTGCATTGGACTTGCATTGCATAATGCCAATGATAATGATGTTTACAAGCAAACAGAGTACGACTCACAAGATCGGACCTTACGAATGAAATAAACAATGGTGTTAGGCATTGCACGCTTAATTATTTGCGCTAAGATCAAGTGAAGTTAAAATGGAATTCTGATACCATTTTAAAACGCAACACTGTTAGTAGAGACTTACAAAAATTAATACAATGTACACAAATATATTATAGGCCTATAATTTATAAGTATAACAAATTTCTGGCGTACCTTCTCTCATGACGACGGGTGGTTTTCTAGCCCGGGCTTCATCGGATAAAGACATTGCGGGTATCCTCACAGTCGTAGCATAACACACAATATCACTCTAGCATATAAAGTATCAAGAATGATCTACATGGACTGCTTTTTGACACTACTTATTGTGTGCAGTTTCAAGCGGCGATCACGTTTCTGACATTTTTTGTTGATCATTCAGTGCTGCCATCTCTCGAGTAAAACCAGTCATATTCCACGCGTCCGAGGTTTGGTGGATTTATAGCGGATGTTCGTTAATGACCACCGATCTCTCGAGGGCCGTAGCATCTTATCTGGCTTAACGCGTGGCAAGAAGGCAGTTGCCTCCTAGATTTTAGAGCAAGATTAAAACCTAATAAACGTAAGAATATAAACAACCCTATGATGAATGGGTAAATCCTTAAAACAATATCCTTGTGACCCTCGTCCCGACGCCCACCTTCGAAGCTGCATGCGCCCATGCTTCGTCATTATTATTCAGGTAATCCCTGAAGTTCTACATACCCCATCCGCCTGAAGAATGTGCTCAGGGCTACGGCAAGGGTGACACCACCGTTTGTCAGACACGGGGACAAACGTCCATAACGTGGGCCGGAACGGAGGCAGGAAGAGAGAAATCAAATGACTGTAACGGGGTGCGGGGCCAAGGTCCCCGAAGGTGGAGGGGGCAAAGCTCCCCGACGGGGCGGAACGTTAGAATGAGAGAGCTCAATGACTATCATAAAATAAAACATCAACATTTTGCACGGATTACAATGGCAACTTAAGTGTTTTCGGAATAAAACATTGTTTTACATTTGATATACGGTAATATATATCACATGTAGCGATAAAATTAGCCCTTCAACGCCATCCCTGAGCTACGCTCTTAGAATAATAACCAAAGTGAGAGATTAATCATTTAGGGACAGACTTTTCACGCCAAACTACTGGTGAGCACATACTCTCACAAACCTGGGTACACAGATTATGTAGATACAGTATACAGATCGAACCTTAGATACATCATACAGCAGATAGAATAATAATAAGAAATAAGAAGAAGGAATAAGAATAAGAAATAAAAAAGAAGAAGGAATAAAAAAGAAGGAATAAGAATAAGAAATAAGAAGAAGGAATAAGAAGAAGAAATAAGAAGAAGAAATAAGAATAAGACGGAATAAGAAGAAGAATAAATTCCCCGCACATTCCAAAGAGAGAATCAGTGCCTTGTGAAATACAAGCAGGAGAGGGACCACAAGATACAAGATACAAGCAGAGGATACAGCCATGGATCGCCACCTATTGGTTGATTTAAATTTCATTCGTGTTACGTTAGCCAGGTAACACTTCATTAATAAACAGACATAATTTTAACAAATTAACATTTACTTCATTGGATAAACGCTGGTCATCCATATGCATATTAGAAAGGGTACACATCGCCATTTATTAGCGGACTTTTTTAAGACAAATTTCATTTGCGTTAACTTAAGGGCTAACGCACTATTAGTTAAGAGTGTTCCCAACTTTGATATCATTAATGATTAACGATTGATAATCCTAATCCTAACCTAAATGACATTAACCCACAAACTAATATATGACCCTGACCATGACCATATATATATATGACCATTATAATGACATTAAAGTTGGGAACACTCCTAATGGAGTATCACCCAACTTAGGCTAGCCATGGCCTTCTATCAGACAGGCACCGAGATGAATTTCATTTGTGAAGCTACTTCGAATGTATGTAGGCCTACTCTATTTAAACATATAATTTCCATAAAATGTCATCAGGTGTGTATAATAATAGTCTATTATTATACACTCCTGATATCATATATGGTTTAGACAATACTGAGCATGTGCAAACATAGATTTCTCCCATGAGTAAAACGTGTTTTATTCATTCATGTCATTCACTAAGGGTGTATATATGTACAAAACCGAACAAACATCCTATCCACTCGTGTAGTAAGTACTCAATATGAATTGTCGTGAAGCATAAATGCAATTTCGTAAAAGCAAATTGGCAATCATCGAGTATGTATTTAAAAGTTGGATCCCACGCCAACTTGTCAGATACGCGTCTGCCACATCGGCATTTACAAACCAATCAGGGGTGTTTTATCGAGCCAATTCCGATTAATCCAACCGTACACCCCTAAATTTGGATTGGTTTGGGAAATCGGAAGCTCCAAATCCAATGTTTAAGGGAAATGACCGCCAGCTAAGAAAATGACTGTCGGTGGGCGTGCTTATGTGTGTAGGATTACACTATAGATGTATGTACAATGCAACCTGTACACAACGGTCACTCAAGGAAAACGCTAGTTGTCCGTTATAGACAGGTGCCCGTTCTATAGCCGTATTCGCCAACACAGACATGACTGTAGCTGACAACGTAATCATGCATCCATCATGACAACCTTAACCTTGCATCTATGGTATATGGTCATTTACTTGTTCTCAGGATTGTTATCGAAACGATAGAAATTGACAACGAACAACTGCTCCATCCGACCACTCATTCATTTTAAACAATTAAAACGCATCGTCAACATTGTGCACGCAAAGAGTAAATAGACAACAAATGCAAATATTTCGTTATGCCAATCGCCTGCACCACGCCTGTAATCTATATATACACTGTATAGATACACAGTAATATTCATTCAAACAAGGCGTGAATGATCTTACATGGTAAGGGGTGAGACCCTTTTACACCTGATATACACACACCCACATATTGTATAGATACGTCCGTGATTACACACAGTATCACGCAGCATCAAGAATGTAATCCGTAGGGGATAGATAGAATCACACACATTAACACAGTGACAGACATGCTTACCACGTGACACCAACAATTAGGACGACACTGTACCTTTTCTGAGAACTGCATATAAGCAATGACGGACAAATATGTTTTGACAGACCATTGAAATAAGCCAGCTAGATAAAACAGACGAGACAGCAAGCCAACACGCACATAGCTACTTGCTGTTCCATATACATCATAAACGTACAGGTGCAGTACGTGTTTCATACAATGCTACATAAAGCTGGGTAAAATACTAACACAGAAATTTTGAAACTCAATAACCGAAGCACTACAGGAATATCTCGGCTTGCTAAGATTAGCATTCCAGTTTACTGCCCGATATGATGGTTGTTTTTTTAGCACATACCTTAAATTCTTTACTTTATATATATCTTAATATATGCTGCCTTTCCAATGTCACACGTGTTGCACTTCACATACAACTCTGTGAATAAACGAAGATTGGTTTTGGATCCACCAAAACTATTTGTAACCATTCCTGTCACCTAACACGTTGTTCGAGATGAACAGAGAATTCTCGCAGGTTTGCTTCTGGGGACAATGGAGCTTCCTTGCATTAAATAAACCTCATCTAAATAGCGTAGACTCGACCACGTTGCTTAGATAGCCAACGCGAACGCTGTAATTACTAAAACACCACTCACTAAGGGTGCGAAATTAAAAATAAACTGCTAAATGTTCGAACTCATGATATGACCATTTATATCAACTTATATGATAACAATACCCCATCTCACAGCATCACCCCAAGAAAGTGGGGATATGTCCGCTCTTTCCGGAGACCAGGGGCCCATTGCCACGAACAAATTTAGACTTAACATTAGTTTCAACGTGAACGTTTTCTCATAGACCGTCGACAATAACGTGGCAAAATTACAAATTTCTCATATGCAGTGTATAGAGGTACGGTCTATGAGAAAGAGTTAAGACTGTTAAGATTGTTCAGATTGTTAAGACTAACGTTCAGACGAATTACGTTTCTGGCAACTGGCCCCTGATCAGAAATGTTGTTAAATTGCACTTGCACATGACTCGCAGGGCATAGGATAATGGGCATTACGAGATGCATGTGTAATACATAAGCATCAGATGATACGCACACGCAACCCTACGTTTGGACATGGAGAAGTACAGCGAGAATTCATATAGATAATTTGAACGATATGAGATTAGTGGAACCAAGTGAATTTGATGAACTACTCTGCATTTCTGATCACATTGCTCTGCACGAAAGAACTACGATACAAGTGGCGCAAGTTTTGTTTTCATTTCCAGTTTCAATACGTTCAGTACGACCTGACATGCGTGTTCGTCACATCAAGGATGGCACAAATTCATAGCAAGGATACAAAATCTTGGATTGCAGTTAGTAAAACAACAGCAGTTCCACCACAAGGTACATGTCACACACTGGGACACATGGCACCTCTAAAGCGATTGCTATGTCAATGAAAAATCCTCAAATCAAGTCAACTGTGAGATACCTACACACGTGTTCTGAGGTTCGATCGGGCATGTTAATACAAGGTCATGTTCACGTATTTGGGTTGGTGTGGAAGTTAGATGCAACAGCAAAGATCGCTATATCACATGCTCCACACCTCAGTCTACTAGCTGCAATGTAGTGCAGCACCCATACCCCCCACCCCCCAGAAGAATGTCTGCTTGCACTGTTCTTGTCCTTTATCCACTATACACTGAAGCTAACAGCACTTATATTTACTATTATCAACCAAACTGAAAGTGGAACCCTCCTGGAAAGCCCCCACCACCTCCTCCTCCTCCTCCGCCACCCATATGCTGGAATGGAAAGCCACCAGCCCCACCGAAGAACGCCTGGAAAATTGTGTCTGGGTCAATATCTGAAACAGAAAATTCACGCATCCACCTTTACAAAATGCTAATGGCTCACTACCATAACTATAACACCTAATACAACATGCATTCTACGTGCATCAATTCGATTGTGATGACAACTACAAGCAGTGCAGCACAAATGTGCAGCACAACAAATGTACGCCCTTACTTATAAAAGTACGTTTCAGCTTGCCAAATCCACTGCGTCCCCTGTAATTAACTTTTCATATGCGAGCATCTTACCTCCACCCATTTCATCTAGATCCTGCCCGCTGTCGTAGCGTGCTTTTTTCTGCTTGTCTGATAACACCGCATACGCCTCGCCAACCTCTTTGAATTTTTTCTCCTGCTCACCTTTCTCCTCTGGTGACGCATTGCTATGGCGATCTACCAAGAAGAGACTTGTGTTTATTCAATTTCCAAAGTAATCAGTGCCGTTATTCACAAAGCGTTGACCTATTTAGTCATTCATGGTCCGTATTTTCTCGACCTCAAACGCTTCTCCAGCCTTACCTGGATGATGTACTAAGGCAGACTTCTTGTATGCTTTCTTGATATCGTCATCTGAGGCATTCTTGTCAACTCCAAGGATTTTATAATAGTCTTTTCTCTTACTCTTCTTCAGTTCAAGTTGTGCTTCCTTATAAAGTTTCTTGTATTCTACAGAAAACAAGGCAATTATGAGAAAAAATTAGAATTGCCCACGTGAAATGCTTTTAAATTGGTGTTCATTTACAACATTACTATATCAGCGTTCATAGTAGTAAGACACATGTTGAAATAAGGACTTATAAGACCCTTTCTGGAGGCCAAAATAAGACTTTTTTACGCGATTTCTGATAGATCATCGACTATTAAAGTACACTAATAATATTTATATACACAATTGCACAGCAGATTTAATTATTCCGTATTATATATACAACAATTCTTACTCGAGTCGAGAACAGTAAGTCGAAAAATAAGGACTATTAAGTACTTTTCTAAGATTTCACCAAAAATAAGTACTAATAAGGGCCCTTATTTTATTTTTGGCAAAATAAGTACTTATAAGACTTTGGAAGACCCGCTACGAACCCTGTATATGCAGTTGTATCAACTGGTATGCATATAGCACGTCAATACGATCCTACAGATCCGTGAAACTTTCCTCACAATATGCATACTTGTGCCTAAAAAGAAAACTGTAACCGATATACCTCGATTTCTTTGGTCGATCTTCGAAAGTTTCTCGTAGTCCCGCGCCGCCTCCTCATAATGCTCCGTGTCTAAGTAACTGTAAGCATCACAGTTTCCAAAACATTACATTTCACTTCATGCAGTCGTTAGCTACTTTCTTTCTTAGAAACGTGCCAGGTATAACGATCGTTGCCCTCCAAAAGTTATGCGCATGTCATGCAGCAGATTACAGTTTCGCCTCTGCTTAACATATGTCCGCTCCTTATTTTATGCTCTACAACAGCAGATGTAGTTTGAGCCTACTAACAGACATCATTAGTTAATCGCCTGAGACAGCAAAGATTGTGGTAGTACCTCACCAGCTCGCAGTATGACGTGAACACCTGCCTAAATATACATGAGTTACTGTTAGCCTACTGAACTAATACATTCAGGAAGACAAGTGTAACACTCTAATGTTCTGCCAATATGAAAAACTACTAAATCTGCTAGCTTGTACTGTTACATACCATTTGCCTCTTCTCAGATATGCCTTCTCGTATTTGTCATCAAGTTCTATAGCCTTGGTACATTCTGTGATCGCTTCGTCTATCCGCCGTAGCTGCCAGTATACAACACACATCAAACCTCGCTTCGATGAATACAACTGCACGTATAGCTATTACTGCAGACCAATAGATGGCATAGTTATGTACGATTGATAATGATAATGCTATAACAGCCCATGTATATAGGGAATATTTAGCTAAAAGATACGGGTACAAATACAGAACACATATAACCTTTGCTAATACAGCCGCACGGTTGCAATGGAGTTTGGAGTTGGTTGACTTGTTGTTAGGATCGATATTTAAAGCTTCGCTGTAGAGATCATGTGCCCTTTTGAAGTCTCCTGTCTTAAAATAGTTGTTACCCTGGTGTTTCTTCTGTATCAAGAGCTTTGCTTTCTGCCGAGTAAACAGACACAGCCATCTCTCACACGATGCAAAATAAAATGTTATGCTAATTCATACAACTGCCACAAATTGTTGCATCTGAATTCACATATCACTCAATATTAGCGAGTGGAGACAGCGCTAACGAGAACAGGTAATAAACAAGCCTCATGTTCACTTATCTGATTCATATACCATGAAAAATTATTACCCACCAAAAACAGAATTGGAAATGGTTGGGGTGTCTATCTTGCCAAAAAAAAATTTTATTTTATTTTTAAAATTTGTTTATATTTCTTTTCATAGCATACTATTTTTAATTATTTGTTTAGGTCTTAGCTCACCCCTAGGTTTACCTATACATATTACACTACAGTTCACATTTCATAGTTTTACACTTATTTATAATTAGTCTGAAACATATTCTAATTGCAGGTTTTACCTTGAAAACATCTATGGCTTTCTTGTGATCAGGCGCAAGCCGCAGTATGTGTTGGAAATGGCTGAAGGCTTTGTCTATGTTATCGTCGTAGTATAGGCACAGACCCCTCACAAAGATGGCATCCACATTCATTTGGTCAAACAAGAGCACCGAGCTGAAAGTGTAGTACAGTGTTTTAGCTATGAGATAGAGACATGGGGAATTTGGCACATTAATCATGCAAATGTCCAGGGACGGCCGGTGAGGGACCCAGAAGACATTAGCTGCATACTTAAGAGCAGACATAATTCAGCGTGGACAGAATGCATTTCATAATGGTCCAAACGCATTAACTTCAACAAGAATGCGTCGCGGTTTATCAAACGGCCATCATTGATCGGGCAACGTACCCGGTGCTCGCGGCTCTTACCTGGTACCGTCGTACGTTAACGTACACGGCGCTCGCCGCTCCTACCTGGTACCGTCGTACGTTAACGTACACGGCGCTCGCCGCTCCTACCTGGTACCGTCGTACGTTGGTCGCGACCGGTCGTTGTACCCACGACCCGCGCCACAAATTAGTGGAAGTCTAAACAGGTCGCGACGACGATGCAGACGGTTTAAAAGAGAGGGGTTTTGGTGACAACGGGAGAGACGTCGGCAACCTCTGACCGATACGTGTACGCTGTATTCCTCCGAACTTGTAATAAAACCGTACTTGCCACCGCTTACTCGACTGTCTACTCTACTCTCTACGAACCTGATATTCGACGCTACAAAAGTGTGGGTAACAGAAAAATGAATTTTAAAGACTTATTATAGGCAGGAGTACACAAAGGCATGAAATATACCAATGACAATTCGTTTACGTGAAAGTTTAACTTTAGTTTTATATGTTAACACCAATAAAATTTGGTAGAGATGACAAATGGTTTTTATTACATATTAACTTTAAGCTATACTTCTATCATTGATGTACGTGCATGTATATGCTATGTGTACAACCTTAATAAATTCTACCATATAAGAAAATATTTCATATAATTGACACCTACTTGGCAACCTCTTGCGCCTCTTGATATCTTTCTAGCATGGCAAGTGCCTCAGCTCTTGCCAGCTTGAAGGCTGTACAGGCTGGTGCATGATCCAAAGCTCGGTCCATGCAGAACAACACCTGTACAGAGCACTCACCATCATGTATTCATACATGCAATTAGACAAATAGTTGGCCAGCACAAAACCCCTTGTTCACGTAAATAATATGAATAATATTATTGACCATTTGCCTCCATGGTTGCATCATTTTGACAGCAGACCTAGCAGGATACAACATTTCAATATTTTAAAGTGCAATTCTTTAGTTTCATTACAACTTATTGGTCCTGATAAACATTTCATTCATCGACAGTAAGTGTAGCACTTACCATTTCAAACAAGAGCCTTCTAAAATCATGGTGCGAAAATCGATATTTCCCCAAGAAAATCAGTAGGCAGAGTTAATCCTGCTACACATGTATACTAAGGTACTTTACATGAAATTGTTACCATGTACTACGCCATCAGCACAGTAGCTGTTGCAAGTTTAACAGCATGATAACCGTTTATCCTGGGATAACATCGTCGTTTCAGTTCAAATAATAGTTAGATTAACGTTGCGATAAATCCTTATATTAACCAATTTGGTAGTTTTGACAATAGATCTCATCTTATTTGAGCTGCCAATAACAGTGATATTAAAATTTAGGTTTTATATACAAGCATGAGATACTAGTATTGATTTTATATAATAGTAAAGCTACCCTTCGAAAGTCTCCCTTGTGGTAGTCTTTCTCTGCTTCATCTGCAAACAGCTGCACTGCTTTAGCTGTCTGAAGCTACAAATACAAAAAAAAAATCAAATTCTATCATCCATTATCGAAATTGTCTAATTTAATGAAGGTCCTTCAATCAACTATAGATGAAGTTATTTCTACGTGTGTTTTGGATGAAGAGAAACAGTATCCAAGGCCTTACCTCTGCTTTTACTTGTGAATTATTTTTATCAACCAACAGTGCTTTTTCAAGACATAATTTTGCATGAAATGCATCTCCCAATGGCAAGTGGGCTTTCGCTTCTCGTATATAGCCCTGAAAATTTCAAAGTAATTAAAATACACATACACCCAACATTAAGCAACTGGCTAAATATTTTGTAATAACCAAAATAAAATTTGTCAAAATATATATAGATATAGTATTGAAGGAACTGTTCCTTCTTACAACAACAAAATCAAACCTTTATGAATTTTGGATCAAGTGTGGTGGATGTTTTCGCATCTTCTATGGCATTTTGGTATTTATGTAGCATGAGGTACACTGCCGCACGATTCCCATAGAAGGATGCGATAGTATCATTAAAACCTGAAACAAGTAGATATTGGATCTATAGGTTTAAGAATATCAGCTTGTAATACACATGTTTGCTTAAAATTGTCACCAAGATTAGATTTTGTAAATAGAATTACCTCAGAATTTTTTAAATCCAACTTTAAAATCAAAATGATCTACTAACTTCCGTTAAATTATGGTGTAACTAAACTACATACCAAATCCTACTTTTCAAAATCAATGAGAAATAGCCTAGTTGAATAGTGGAACTGAACCAATAAACACCAATTTAACTGAAAATAATAATTAAAGTTAGAGAGTGATCCTCTCCTGTTAATCGACTACCCTACAACTTATTGTACACGGCTACTTCAACACACATAACACTTGATGTTACCGATGGCTTCTGTGTAGAGTTGGAGTGCAGCTTGGTAGTTTCCCTTTGAGTATTCAATATTTCCTTCCAGTTTTTTTTCTTCACCCATCGAAATCAATCTGCATAATTCGAAATCATTGCATTAAAGTCCAAGCACGCATTTGTACTCGTAGGCACTACAATTTTCCTTCACGCTTTTTGCAAATATTAAATGCGGATTATAATGACAGAGGTCAGACATTTGCAATTGGCGTAAAACAAAAAATCATTGTCAATCTGTAAAACAAATCTGTTAGTATTTTATACACGGCAGGTGTAGTGTCAGATACATGCTACTTGCACTGTAAGATATGTGCACACATAACTCTTACATGTGCATTGCCATGGAGTGGCAATTTTCCTCAGGAATTTACTAGATATCTGTGGGTAAATTAAGTTGTACCAAATGGCAAGGGTTTAAATTCAAACAAGTAAACATTTGGCTATGCATAGATATAAAAATGGAGGCAGTTGGTTTGTGTGTTTTTGCTATGATGGTGTGAAACGAATTGAGCATTGTGCGAATTTGGTGCTCACTTTCCCCACCTGCTTTATATTTCTGTTGTTTGTGCAGTGGCGTGCGTGCGGTGAAATTATTGTGTAGCAGAGGAACATTTTAATAGAATTTACAAAAAATTATTAGTTACTAATCATAGGTGAAAGAGAGTAGATAAACATTCAGACTGTGGTAAGAAATACATTTCGTGTTTATTTACCATCATTTTATTATTGAAACGTTTCAACCGTCTGTGGTAACGATAGCCAAAATTGCAATTCTATTTGCGCATAGGTGTGAAGTTAGTGGCAGTGCATAACAATAGTGTCAATACCAAGTTAGACCAACTATTTTTACCTATTTTACTATAGTCTAGACTATAGAATGAAAAAAATTCTATTTCTGCGGGAAATGCGGCATAGTTGGAATGTGGAGACTGGAGGTGGCTTTTTTTTAAAGTAGAACTGCTGGATATAACACACGACCTCAATTTGCAATAAGCACCATTGTAAAGCTCTGACTGGTCACTGGTGTCGTTTTTACGTTGGGCAAGCTAGAAATTTTTGCCCCTACTACTACTACGAGTACTAGTGATTTCGTATACGTTAAACGAAGGTCAGGGAGTAGTTTATTGAGACCTAAAGTGGTCATATAATAGACTTTTCATTCAAAAAAGGGCAGATCACAGTTCATCACACTCAGTTTCACTTTCGGCCAGTCAGTTTTTGCGTGGGCCGTGAGTTCCCATTTCCATTGACTGTTTTGACTTTTGCTACTTCGTACTTGCAGCTGAATAGAATAGCTTCGTCTGGTTACTAATGTCATCTAGGGAACGACCATTGTCAACTATTAATGCGTGCTCAAGACACGGGATAACTCACTCTTCCTGTGGGCGTTCCGTTTCTGTTTCCATGCTTTCGTTGTCGATTCCTGACTTTTTACTTCTCTTGGACCCAGTTCTGGTACAATCGTCAGCCATCCCTCATGCTGGAGTTAGATCGTATGCTCTATCACTTTACATTAGTAGATTTTTTTACTTCCAGTTTAAGTTCATCGCCTGAAGAGGGCGCTGAGTGCCATGACTGTGTGTGTGTGTGTGAATCTGCTGCAAAATGGAGCGTTTGTTTCCGTAATTTGGCTGTCGATCGGCGGATATTTGTAAATATTACAACATCAGGGATTATGGCAACAAATGAGGTACGTCTTTGTCTGGAGGTTACGTCATAGAGACCTATCGTTTAGGTAGCTGTTGTGTTATAGCGCTCTTATCACTACCATCTAGGCCTAGTTTCGATGAGTACGGATATGATTACACGACGTGGTTGAGTCCACAGGCACTTGGAACGTCTCAATAAAAAATAAAAAATAAACACGAAATGTATTTACTATAAAAGTCTTAATGTTTCTCTACTCTATTTCGCCTATTATTGCCGATAATTACCCGCAAATGCCGGTCAAATGCTCGTCTGCAACACACAAGTAGTGAAGTACACCGCACGCCCACAGGCACTTGAAGCGTTTCAATAAAATATAATGCTAACTATAAATACGAAATCTATTTACTACCAAATTCTTAATGTTTCTATACTCTCTTTCACCTATTGTTGCCGACAGTTTCCTGTAAATTCTGTCCAAATCCTACGCGCAACCATATACGCTGCCCCCGCCCATTGCTCTCGCGGCTCCACTGTTGCACGCTTACACTTATAATATATATAGCAGGTAGGAAAGCGGGATCGCAAAATTCGCTCGACGCTTGCTTGATTTCACACTTTCACAGCATGAATACACATGCAACAGCTTCCATCTTTGTTTCTCTTCCAAGAACAGTGTTCACTTGTTATAAAAACATACTGTCTCTGTTCGTAACCGAGCTGTGTCACGCGAAATCACACAAAGACTGACGAAATTCTCGCGTTCGCGAACCTTGCCCAGTAAATATAAGAGAAACATTGAGACTTTGGTAGTAAATACATTTCGTGTTTACCTTTTCTTACCTTTTTTTTTTAATTGAGACGTTCCAAGTGCCTGTGGTCGAGTCCTTAGAATTGACATACCTTTTCCAATCAATCGCTGTCCGAATCAGTTTGAGTAGATTAAGAGCAGTACTTAGCCGACTTATTTCTGGTAACTGTATGGTGGCATATTATATATATACTTATCTAGTGAATGTCATACATAAATTCGATAAAATACGGAATATAGTATACTATATATATACCTTATTACCATTACCTTCAACGCAATGCCAGGACCCTTGCCAAACGCCTTGGCTCTGGTTGGGGTGAGGAATTAAGCCATTGGTAAATTCTACTGTAAGCAGTACCTTGCATGGGTCTATACAAATCATACGTGCATACATACATACGTACACACACATACTCACGCACGCACACACGCATGCACACACGTGTGTATATATATATATAGGCCTACCGTTTTCTACTTTGTTTTTACGTACAAATAGATGTGTAAATATTGATATGATATGTGTTTGTTTGTTCACAGCAATAATACTAGGAATGTACTTATTTTATTTCGCAGAATCCCAGATTTTAATGTTGTGATTAGGTTAGGCTTAGGGTTAGGTTATGGATACAGTTAGGGGTATATAGGGTTAGGGATAGGGTATTGGATGGTGATTGTTCATGAACTGGGGTCCTAAAGTTATACTGAGATGAGATAACCAGTCAGCATGTCACAAGTCACCTCAGTATAGAGACCAATTTAGCTAAATCTGTACATGAGGCATATAGCTAGTTACCAATTCTCCAAGGCTTAGATGGTGTACGTATTACCCAGCAATGCTACATTATCTGTATAGAACATGGGATGTGTTCCTTGGTCATCAAGTCTCTGTGTATTTTCCTGTGTATATAAGCTATTGTATACAGTAGGCATAGACATAGGTGCTGACTGTGCATGTATGCACTACACCTACACAGATCACAAGTACCTACAGGTTGAAAATATGATGGCATGAGAGGAAATACTGATAGGGCATCTAGCTTGAATATTGTTCCCATGTTGAGTTGAATGATGTATTTAGGATTTGAAATTCATAATAGACCATTTGCTAGTATATTTTCTATCAGGCCACCTGTACATTAACTCAGGTAGCCAGGTGGACTAGTAGTAGTAGTAGCTCTAGTAACTATAGCCCGCGTACAGTTGCCGCTCGGGTCAGCGGCAACTGTACACGGGCTATAGTTACTAGAGCTAGACTAGTAGTAGATATGAATATGGACAATACAAAGAATATCTGAAACACTTGTCAATGAGTACGCTTGCATTGAATACCCTCGGGTAGAAAGAGTGCTGCGTTCATGTGGTTATTGATGTTGATCCTCTGATATCAGATTTGATTACCAGCTGACTTGCTCATCATAAGGTCATAACTACCTCTCGGGGAGGATGTGCTCAGCTAGATTTCTCTCGAAAATTCCATGTTCACCCGATCGAACGCGGATTTTGGGGAGCGCAATTATAATTAATTGCGCAAGAAGGGCCTGCTGAGTGTTACACATCCACCTTGCAATCTGGCCACCTTTCAATGAACCTTCTCTATTATGATAAAATAAATGGTAATTATGCTGAACTGGCTGGAAGCCGACTATTCCTATGCATTTTAATGGGAGTTGGATTTTAGTACGTGTATGTTCATATATATATACATGTTCACCAGTCTCTAACACTATGTGAGAGATAGAGTTCTGTAACATAGGTGGGACAGGAAAGGTTGTTTTTTCTCACGTCTGTGATAATCTTGGTATGACCAATATAGGCGTGTGAATGTCAGAGTACAAGGTCCCATGTGCTGCTATGGAAGAAGCTGGACTGAGAGAATGTTTAGATTCGTTTCCATGGAAAGGAAATTTGGCCTTAAATTGATGCTAGCCATTATTAATATTTTCTTTGGGTCATATGACATATGGCCAGTGCATTTTCTATACATCACCTCACAATAAACACAGTCAAATGTTGTGGTCTGTGATATTCATATATATATGTTCATATTCATACACAAAAATGTGTAGTGCTAAAAAATAACACGTATCAGGTTTAAGTATGTTTACGTGTCAACTCACTATATATTACTTATATTATTTATTATTTATTTACTTTGTGTGTCACAGTATTATTTTGCACTACGTAAAACATTTACATTATTGGGTAAGAAGTTTGTTTGTTTGCCTTCAAATAGCACTTTGATTGGATGCAGAAAAAGCACTTTGATTGGATGCAGAAAAAGCACTATACTCCCGTGAGATCTGTCGTCTGATTTAAATGTAGCCTTGTTGTTTCTGGAAAGGGATACAGCAAACATGTTGCGTAGAAACTGCTTCATCATCTGTCTACACGTAAAAACATACTGCGATGCTGCTTTAACACGCACATGTGTGTATGTGTGTGCGTGCGTGCGTGCATATGTGCGTCATGATATGTGCGTGCACACACATTCCTTACGTTTCTGGCAATGCACATTCGTACATTTGCAAGGCATTTTCTGCATACTAGCTGAGTAAACATGTAATCAGGAGTAGATAATAGAAGATCTTCTATTATCTACTCCTGATGTAATGTCACTGAAGTAGAGAATCATGTCTCACAGCAATCCCGTTATCTGCAGTCTGGATGACTGCCTCTGGATGCATGCTGACTGCATCTGGATGACTTGTGTCAGCGTGACGACTTTGGTGCTCTGTTATGCATGAGAAACATGGAAAATGTATCATGCGCCTCCATGATGCTTACTACTTCATTAGTTCATAGATGGTTGGATGGATGGAAGCATGGATTGAAGATGGATGGATAGACAGCCAGGCAGACAGACAGACAGACAGATAGGTAGATGGAATATATGAACCATTATGCTTGTACGTTATAGTCCCTTATATGTGAAGCTGGTCTGTTCTTATGGTAACACCTTTTCATTCAGTGTAGAGACTGCGGTTCATGGACTGTACATGTTTTATAATAATATAATAATATGTGACTGACGTACCAGCGTAGCCTCGAGACATTACGATATGGCTGCAGCGCATGCGCAGTGCAACTGGCGTACCCGTAGCCTCGAGACATTAAGATACTATTGTCGGCAATAATAGGTGAAAGAGAGTAGAGAAACATTAAGACTTTGGTAGTAAATAGATTTCGTATTTATTTAGCATTATATTTTATTGAAACGCTCCAAGTGCCTGTGCACGTGTAGGAATCTGTCCGCGTGTGTGTATGCTAGTGATGTCACGATCATCGATTATACTCGATCATCGGTTGAACAGTGGCTCGAACCAAGCGCTTAGTGATGTCACGATCATCGATTATACTCGATCATCGGTTGAACAGTGGCTCGAATCAAGTGCTTGGTTATCAAAATCCATAATCGATTTTATCGAAAAAAGAAAAAAAGAAAAAAAAATCGAAATAAATGTAAAACTTGAACAAGAAAACTCATGGAAAGGAAAAGTCATGAGAATCAGAGATATCATCGCTACTATACAAGTTATCCTTTATTAACATACATGTATTATACACACAGTAGTAAACAGTGCAAAACAAATAGTAAACAGGGCTAAACAAGCACATACATGCACACACGTACATGCACACGCAGGCATTCAACACCCGGAGTAACCGATTGTAACCGATCATCGGTTACTTGGGTCCAACCGATGATCGATTACGAAATTACAACCGATTGACAACACTAGTGTATGCACAGTGCACGTGTGGGCATATCCGGTGTCCATGTGCGTGTGGATGCATTAATGTAGGTGTGAGGCGTGTGAGTGGGTGAGCGGGGTGTGTGATTGGGTGTGGGGTGTGTGGTTTGGTGTGGAACGTTTTGTTGGGTGTGATGTTGAGTGTGGGGTGTGTGGTTGAGTGTGGAGTGCGTGGTTGGGTGTGGGTGGATGTAGTTGTGGACTACGTTGGTGAGTGTATGCGTGGGATGTGTATGTGGGTGAGTGTGGGTGTGGGGTGTGGTGTAGGATGTGTGCTTGGCTGTGGGTGTCGGGTGTATGGGTTATAGTACGGGTGGTATAGGTGTGGGATGTGCACGGGTGGGTGTGGGTATGTTAGATCTATCTGTGGCCAGTGGTGTGAACGCATGTTTTCGAGTGTACATGTGCTTGGAACCATCTATACAATCTATTCCAATTACAATGTTTACCCATTTTAAGAAGATGTTTTTCTCATCCCGTTATCGTGAGAGGGTAGGCAGATCAATCTGGCTTCATATTATACTGAGGAGTAATTGCACGGGCAGCGGGACAATAATGAGGATAGAGTGCGACGTAGCGTAAACAACATTCGGTGGAACGGGCGCATTTAACGGCACCTGTAATGCGCGTGTATGCTGGCTGCTGCTGCTGCTGCATCAGCCGTGCTGTCACTGAGTTGGGATGTAGTTTACCGCGTGTCGCACACTAATATAGACACACGGATGTGCGGGTGAAGTATATAGTTTTGGTGATCTCTGACATTTATAGCGCCGAAGAGCTGCGTGGGACAGTGGGAATTGTGTAAATGCCTATAAAGTGACATGTATGTGAGAGGTACCGAGTGGCGCGCGGTCGCATGTCCGGTTGGTGGCTGGTCAGTACAGCGGGCCTGTGTTGTCTTTTGCTTCTGTGTTGAGTCATCTCGATATATGCTAGCGTGGGATGTTGTGAAAATGAAAGGGTATAAGTAACGGTATTTATAGGTAAAAACTGTCGGGCACTAGTCAGGATTTAGAAAACTGTGCCGCACGATTACCGTTAAGGTATGTCACGTCCCTATTAGCTAATTAGCTATAAGTTATGAAATGATATTTCGATTGATCATGCAATCATTGTCTCTGAACTTTAGTAAATTTACTATATATATGTTCTTTAGTGGTAGGAGCTCTAACAGAATAAATTTGTCATGCTCACAAATTGTAGTTAGGATGTTTGATGCAATTGTCAGCAACTATAATTATTGTGAAATTATAATAAAAGTAATATTTGGTTCTCATACAGCACATATGTAATCAATATCGTGTCTCAATTCAATAGTATGACGCATGTATCACACATATCAGTCGTGAAAAAAAATCAAATTTGTGTTTAACTTATATATATATATATATATATATATATGTAAGGTAGCCATATGTCATGTAGATACAATAATGTAACCCAAACCCAAGAGGATAGGCCTATCCTCTACGCCTATCCTCTTGGGTTTGGGTTACATTATTGTATCTATATGTCATGCACTTAGTGTAAATATTGTGTCCTATGGGTTCTAAGTTTGTGATCCTGCGTAGTATTTCTGTTCACATACGTTCATTCAAGGTGTGGCTTGTATTTCCCGTTTGCTGCTAGTTTTGCTGGCAGTGAGTATAGGGGGTACAACTTGATGGTAGATAATGCATTTATGCATCAGACATTACATAATTTGTGTAGCCCCGGGGCAACGTTCAAGTACATTACAATTCAGCGAGTGACTAATAATAACGTCATTGACGCGGGGATTGGTGCAGGGATCAAGGGTCACCGAGTCAGTCGCACCTACACATATAAACAACTTTAGTTACATCAGGAGTGAAATACTAACACACGATAACAGAATTGTCATTAGCACTAATTTAATCATTAGCACAACTCTAGTGCACTGTGCTGTGTGATAGCTTGTTCATGTAACCATGGCAATTATTGCTTGTGTAAAGGCAGTCAACATACACCCACAACAATGTTTGCTAACGTAGATTGTTGTGACGGAGACCTTGTTGATTGTTGGAATGGACATGAAGGTCAGACGCACTCACTGTTTAGATGGCATTGTTGGCCAGTCTGGCAGTTGTGTGGCAGTATCACTATCACTATAGATCACTATACGACTTCAAAACGGTCTTGTTTGACAGGTTGATAGGCTGGCTTTCTCGTAGACCTGTGTAGATGGTATCTGTTGCATTCATACATCGAACTTTTGTATTTTGGCATGGTCAATCACTGTGTGGGTGCACGCAATGTATGTTACGATATATTGACCATGTATTTTATATCTTTTGCAGGCCAAAAAAATGCAACCGCAGAGTAACGCATCTTCTGCCGGGTAAAACTCTTCAGTACTTAGGCCGTATATGTTCACTTAGATATATGTTTACTAATAGTAATAGCAGCTGTTGAATCGTTTCTGAGCACTTAGTAATCGTAAAAGTTCATTCTAGAAATGCAGTTTAGGGATTTAGGATATTAGGTGTTTACGTAAACGTAAACGTGGAGTAAAATATTGTCATGTTTGCCGTGTGCATATTATATTGCCGTCACGTAATTGTAACCACGTACGTGTGTCTGTTCTTTAGTGTCGGCAGTTCCCCTCTCCAAGATGTTACCTGTGAGAATATTACCAGCGATGACAACTTGAGCCCAAGTCCATCAAAGAATGCAATGCCTCTTTCCAAAAAGAAGGCCGAAGACTATATTTTTGGAAAGATCATAGGAGAAGGTTCTTTTTCAACTGTGAGTGTCCAGCTGGTGTTTGAGAGTCCAGTTTGTTTCAGGCGTACTTAGGAAATTTCATGTACTCCTGTTGTTAAGTTCAGTAATAGAAATAGAGAACAATTTTATCACTGTGTTAGCATATTGCCTTTATTGGTTTTGTAAATGAATTCTTGGTCTCTTTCATACAGGCAGTAAACTGTATCATGCTGTGTATTATTTTTTAGGATATTACAAAATTTTAAATAAAGGGTCACATTATACTCAAGAATCGTCTAAAGATTCGCTAGGAATGTCGCATAAAAGAAACAACATTACTACTTGATCTAATAAATATTTTAGTAATTATATAGTCTTCGTAAGTAGATGCATAATACACGTGCATGATTAGAAATCTGTACTCAGCAAGTGTTTGTGTTTTGTCTTTGTAGGTATTTTTAGCCAAAGATATCCAAACGCAAAAAGAATATGCAAGTAAGTGTAAGCGTACAGTACACGGTTACGAGCAAATAAGTGGACATATTTTACACCGTGTAACATGTGTTGACCGTGTAAGATTTATATGTTAAATATGTCGACACGTGTTAGATGTGCTACTACTTCGTTCGACCGCCGCTCTCGCACATAATTCGAGCCGCCACCTCGCGTCGACGATCGGCGGTTTGCGAGCGCGAAACCTAACCGTGACTTTTCCGCCGCGCTTGCAGTAAAAGTTTGCGAGAAGCAGCACATCATTCGAGAGAAGAAGACGGCGTACATCAAGCGAGAGAAGGAGGTGCTGATGCGTCTCGGAGCCGGACCTTCCCCTTTCTTCGTCAAACTGTTCTGCACGTTCCAGGACCGCGATCGACTATGTATCCTCTTGGTTTATTCCCGGTTGGCCTTAGGCCAACTGGGATGTTACCGTCCTCTTCACTGAACCAGCGAATCTTTCTTTTTTTGATTTTGTTCGGTTTTAGAAGTTATTTGGGGTGCTGTGTTTGTCCTGGTCGTCGTTTTTTGAGTGTGTTGTGCAAAATCAGATTTTCTTCAACTCTAGGCCTTCCTTAAAAAATTATATGTTTGCTGTCCTCCGACCTCGAAAATAGCCGCGACCCAAACGTTTTTTTTTTGACATTTTGGGTTCCATAAATTTTTTTAAACATTTTTTTTAAAA